AAACGGACTGTACTTCCTAGACCTTAAGAACAGTAACTTCGGGTGTAAGTGAGACCGACCCCCCCCCCCCCGTTCCCTGGCCGCATCCTTGCCCCGAGCGGAGATGAAAACATCTCTGAAACCTGATGCTGTTCTCACAACGGGCACCTGCGCTCTCTTTGCTTGTTTGTACATTACGCATGGGTAATACTTTCACATATTTGTCAAATGCAATGTGTTACGGATACACACTGGTGCATGTATGTATTGAAGGTTATGTTAAAATATCACTGATGCATTCAATACACGTGTCTGATCTATCATGGAATGGTATTGTTGTATTATAGGTTACTGACAAACGCTTCATCATTTACCTCTACAGCTATACTACAAAACCCACTGTATTCTGAATTGGTATGATTTAGGAGAACTTCAAGCCAAACATGCAAGTACCTCTTACTAACTCACACTGTCTCTGAATGTTACATATACCAGATCTAGGTCTCATGAAGACTTTGAGATACATTAGTCATTGTCAGAACTTTGCTCTAATGGTGCTGTGGAATCACTATGAACATTCCACAAGAGTATCGACTATTTCTTTCTCGTTTACCACACGTTACTACATGTACAGCCATTCCCAATACTTCAAACACGCACGAAGAAAACATTTATTGAATCACCACACCCTCCCGAATAAAAGAGAAAGAAAGAAAGAAATACACAAACAGAAATTCTAACTACATGCTCATCGTGTCTCAGAAAAAGTTGACCCCCCAAAAAAGAAGAGAAAAAAGAGGCCTCACACCGAAATCTACTCGTACTGACTGCTCATCATGTCTCCCCGCCGCGATTGGCCCCACCTCAAGCCACACCCATCCCGCTCCCCTCCCCAAGGGCGAACCAGTCTGTTCACGCCCCGTTTTTAGGAACGCCCAGGTGAATGGAGTTTGTCCCTACCCCCTCGCTGGTATATAAAGGCTCGTAGCTACACCCATCACCATCACACACATACACCCACAGTCATCATGAAGTCTGTGAGTATAACAGGAGCTGCTTAATCATTACTAGCTATTTCAGTGAAAAGTGAAATTGTTGTCTGCTATATTCCAAGCTTATTTACTTTGCTGGAAACTTTGTTGTTTGAAATACGTGTCGATTCACCTATTTTTGCTAAGTTGCTTTAAGGAATTCTTATGACTGTAATTTCTCGGTATCAACTTGTTTTATATCCGTTCGATTAATTCTAGTATATTTTCAAGCATGAACTTCGTTTCGTAGTTTCAAAATTGCAATACATGTTAATCGCAGGAATGCAAATTTATTACTTAATTGATTGAAAATAAGTAATGCTCATATCAATCATATTATTAGTGCGTTTTCTTTTATTAAAGTGAACTAATCGTTATATCATTTACATTAAGACATTTTCTTTATCATAAACATTATCGCTTATTTATGTATCATGAGAAACCCATCGGTTGGGAAATCTACGAACAACTTTATAAATTCTAGAAGTAAAAGAAGTATCTGACATTTGACATTCATGGATGACCTCCGTGAACTTAGCGTTTGTTCAGCGTCGCGGGGAAAGCGATGTCCTTGACAGGCTTCATTTCATTCACGAAATTAGAAGACGGTCGTAAGAATTCCCACACCTCTAATTTCACGAAATGACAAGCACTTATAGCATTGTGTTGTCTTCCCCGCAGGTTATCTTCGCCTGCCTGTTCGCCGTCGCCCTTGCGGCCCCCCAACAGAACCCACTGGGTCTCGCTGAAGTTCTCGTCGACGAGCGAGTGGATAACGGTGACGGAACCTTCCAGTACAACTTCCAGACCAGCAATGACATCGCCGCACAGAGGACCGGCTCCGTCGGCTCAGCTGGCCAGAGCAACACCAGGGAGTCTACAGGTAAATATCGACACAGTGGAGGGATTTATTCTCCCTTAGGTGTGTCTAGTCGTATGTTATGCCTTTACTCAGGGAAGGTTATGGCCAACCTAATAACAACTTTCTCTAGTTTGCATATTCCACCCGATATTAAAGCCCCCATATCTGAGCCCAGAGACTTGAACGCCCTTTCCCTTCTGCAGGTTCCTGACCCCCGAGGGCGAGACCGTCGAAGTGAGCTACACCGCCGACGAGAACGGCTTCCAGCCCCAGTTCCCCCTTCCTCCCCACCGAGCACCCCCTCCCCGCTCACGTGTACGAGCTCCTCGCCATCGCCGAGCAGCAGCGCGCTCAGGGCATCCAGTTCGACAACAGGGTTTCCGAATATAACTAAAGAAAAGAACAAAAAATATGCCATAACGACAATTCTATACTACAATTTTCTGTAGATATTTTTACTATGCAATTTCGAGATAACAACCAGATAACATACATTACAAAAAAACAAAGAAGCACATTTTGCATTTAAAAATCATACATACATTTTGACAGTGAAAATGACAATACAAATTCTACAGCCTGGCGTTATCTTCAATTGTACTCTTTAGCAATAAAAACTTAAAGAAAT